GCACCACGGGAGGCCCTTCATGGTTTTATGTGTAGGAAAATGACAAGCCCTGAAGGTTAGGCTTAAGGAAGCAATCTGGTAACAGTCATTAAACTGATGTGAAGCTGGGAGAATGTTAGAAAGCTATTTTTCATAGTATAAGAATAATAAACTACCTTATAAAGGTATGATAAGGATTGAATGGGAAAACCAAAGTAAAGCATTTTGCAGCAGTTACTTATGGGTGGTAAACACCCATCAGCTGCTATAATATTAACTGCCATTATTATTATCATCATTACTATCATTATGTAAGAGGTTACCAAATCTACACTTGAGTAGTGGTGGTAGGGACAGAGAACAGGGGAAATGACTTAGACATTAAAGGTACTCAGGGAACAAGGAGAGTTGGCAAAGATTGATGGCTGGTGCCACTAATAGGTGGTGGAAAGCCAGGAGAAGCAGCTCCTAAGGACAAAGATAATGTCAGGTAGTAAAAATACAATTTGAGGAGCTGAAGGGACATCTTATTGGAGATACTGTATGAGTGGCTGGAAACGAGAAGCTGGGCCATGTGGAGATCTAGAGTCACTGACTCAGAACTATGCACACAGGACCAACAGCGCACACGTTGAGGGAGACTGTCGGGGGCACCAGAGAGCTGGAAACTGGGAGGGAGAGAATCTTGGACAGGAAATGGAGGAGGGACCACCCAGAGAGTTCACGTGACCTGGAAGGTTCAGTGTGACAGAAGCCAAGAGAGGAAAGTCCTAAGGAGCTAATGGTTCACCTTATCTAATAAGGGTGAGGAGAAAGAAAGACAGAGATAAGGAGTAAGTTATATTTTGGGGAATGAGGAGCCCTTGAGGGATGATAGCTGTGCAGAAGGCAGAGAGGGTGCAAAGGAACAATGCTGACTAAGCTCCCACTATCTGGCTTCATTCTCCAAGATGAGCACAGCAGTGCAGGACTTTGAGGCCCTCTCCTCCCAAGTGATTTGGAAATTACCATGTGCAAGCCAGGGCAGGGTTACAATTTCCAGTCCCATTTCCAGATCCAGTCCCCACGTGGCTCAGTGTTCCCTGGGTGCCACCAGGAAGCCCTTCTTGCCAGGTCAAATACCAAGGCAGGAAATGCCACTTGGCCCATTCCAAATTAGATGCACAATGAAACTGAGCTGTTTTCTTAGTAGGCATGACTCTGTATACCATATATACATACACTTGATTCTGGAGTTAGCCTTTATTCACTATCCATATTATTAAAAAATATACATATACATACACATGGGATTCTTCCTATCTAGATGTCTTGCTCAACAGTGTCTATGGATCTAAATATGAATCTAAATCCTTCTTACTCTTCCAGTCTCCTTCACAAGACTTCCCCAGCCCCCAAAGATCTCAGATCTTCAGAGTTTGCCTTGCTTTGCAGCTCAGTTGGCTAGGAAGTGCATCATACACCTCTGGGAGCTGCTTTTTTTTTTTTATGCTGAGGCCCCTCACCCAGCATTGGGCTTCGAATGCCCATTCAAAAAACAGACAACCAACCAGAAACCACTTTCATTAGAGAAACAGTGGAATTTTTTCCTAGAAGGGCAGCTCTGGTTTATACACTAAAAGGCAAAGGGGAACTTTCTACCACTCCCTCAAAGCCACCAGTACAAGACGCTCAGGTTTCTACATAGCCTCCTAACTTCCTGCCTACTTCCAGTCTCAACATACCATCTAAAGTGCAGATCTGACCACATGCTTCAGTACCAAAAACTTTCCTAAGTCCCCACAGGCAATGGTGGAAATCCTATGTATGGTGTACAAGCCCTTCAAGATTTGGTCCCTAGAACTTCTCCAAACTCATTTCCCTGAATGTTGCTCTGTCTTCAGTCATTTGGAAGAGCTCTTATCCAGTTAAGGACTTTGCATACTGAGAGAATGAGAACTCCTCCCCTCCCTGCTTTCACCAGAGCCAACTCCTACCCATCCTTTCTTTCTGCAATTGGCTGTCCCTTGAAGCCCTCTTTCAGCCCCTCTGGAGGGGTGATCTTCCTGTATACTTCCATTGCATCTGAGATTTACCCTCCACTGAAGAGAATCAGCTTAAAGGGTGATGGCCCGTTCCCTAGTTGGTTATCCTTGCTGAAATGAACATATACTCGTGAGGAAGGGAGCCATTCCATTTTACTTGCCTCTGTACCTAGCAAATGCTAGGCAGAGCAGGTAGCTGTTGAGTATTGACTGAATAAATGACTAAAAGAATAAATGAATGCTTTTTCTTTTTTAGTCCAGTGTATTTCTGAACCTCTAAAATATCTGAAACTTAGGGCAAAGCAACCAGGCTTGAGTGAAAAGAGAGTTATCTTATCCTCTTATCCAACCTTGGTAGCTTGAGATAAGTCAAGATGTGTGACACATTCCCCCAAATCCATTGTAGGCAATGGTTGCTCCATACAGGCCAGGGAACAATGCCCACAGTGAATACCAATGGACAATACAAGCAACTGTGCCCAGAGACTGTACAAGGGACTGCCTCGCACAGGGCAGGGAAGGGCTGGGCAAGAGGACACTTCTTCAGCTCCAGAGTCCCAGCCCAGGCAGGAGTCCCGGGGAAGGGATTTTCTTTTACAGGGTCAGTGACATAACCCCATTCTCCCTTCTCTAACCAGGAAGCTGTGGAGGGCAGTGCAAGAGATGCCAAAGTGGAGATCAGAAAAGCAGGAGCAGAGAGGAGAGGTAACTTATCCCTCCAAGTCACCCAACATTTACTGCCTGCCTACTGTATGCCAGGCACAGTGCTGGGCCCTAGGGATACAGTGCGATAAACACCAGATATCTTTCCTCCCTTCATGTAGCCTACCGTCTAGAGGTGTGACTGGCAGTACTCAATCACATAAATAAATTTAATGTGCATCTTTAATTACTTCAAAATAATAGGTTCAGGTTACAGATGTATAAAATAAGGAGATGTGGCCTAGTCAGGGGAGGTATGGAAGGCTTCCTTGAGGAAGTAACCAATGTATTAAGAGCTGAAGGGTGACTAGGAATGAATGTATTAGACAAGGATGGGGTTGGAATTCAGGGGTGTTGTAAGAACAATAAAGCATTCAGGTATAGGAAACAGCACGAACAGCCTTCCCATCCCCATGAAGTTCAAGAACTACTTCAACCAAGTTCAGTTCGTAGGGTCCATCTGCTTCTTCTCAATCCTGTATCTCTATTGCATTTAAAGAAAAAGGAGGTTACGGAGTGGACTTTGTATGGGGACTGCAGATAGGAATTGTAGATTACAATGAGGGGCTGGGGTGATTAGCCCACACCCAGTCACCCCAAGCTCTGAGCTCTGACCGCTAACTATCCTCATGTAGAGAAGTACAAGGCATGAAGGGGCAGGTTATTCTCAAACTTAAATCCAGGAAGGCTGGTAGCAAAAAGGGCCCACGGGAGGCTAAGCGCCCATAGAGAGTGAACTGATGTCCCTATTTCAGGAAGAGCATGGCGCAGCAGCTGTATTTGAAAACCGAGATAAACAAGAGCTCAGCTCAAGTGGATGGGGCACGACAGCTGTGGAAGATTAATCACACGCGGCTGCAAGTCACCAGGTCCCCAGAGGCCCCAGGCGGATTCCCTCTCATGCCCCACCAGTAGGCCAGTTGCATTCCTGTCTCATACCCACAACTCCCTCTGCTTGGGGAGCTTACTGACCACCCAGGAGCTCAGAGACCTGCTCCCAGCAGCGGCCTGCCTTTTAGATAAACTGCCCCCAGTTTCAGTTCTTCTGCCCAGGAGACGGAACTACCAAACGTTCAGGGTTTGTTTTTTTTCATCACCAGAAGAGAGAGACAGAGAGGCAGGCAGCAAGCGGGTGAATTTATGGCACTGCATTAAAGGCGTTTGTTCTATTTCTCACACACACACACACACACACACACACACACACACACACACACACACTCAACACTCACACTCACACATTCACATACACACACACACACACCCTACTCCCTCCACAGTCAAAAATAAAACACAACGAATGAAGACGAAAAACTGCCTTTTCACCCGGGAGCAAATCGCTTTCTTCATCTCCCCTAGTGGCTTGGGTCTTGGGGCAGGTCAGGCAGAGTCTGCAGGAGCAGCGCTAGCGTCTGAATGAGGGCCTGTGGCTGTGCGTGTGTGTGGTGGTTACGTGTGTGATGTGAGTTGTGTCCGAGGGTTGTGTTTGAGTGGCTGTGCGTGTGTGTGGTGGTTACGTGTGTGATGTGAGTTGTGTCCGAGGGTTGTGTTTGAGTGGCTGTGCGTGTGTGTGGTGCTGGGGTGGGGGTGGAGGAGAGTTATGTACTTGGCTTCTCTCCACCTGGCCAGGGACCGCCCAGACCACCGCGGTCTGGAGAGCGCAGGATGAGAGAAATCCTCCTCCCCGCCCCCTCGGCCGCCGCGGGCCGGTGCGCTGGGGCTGCAGTTCCCCACCAGCGGCATTGGAGTCCCGAGGATGGGGTGTGCGCGTGCGTGTGTGCACCCGTGTGCGCGCCGCGTGGGTAATGCTCTCCCCTCCTAGCTTCCAAACCCGGCGGGCACTCACGGTCCCGGGAGCACACGTCCTGGCAGAGGCGGCACACACATGCACACATGCATCCAGCACGCAACACAGCATCCAGTCTCCCCAGTGCGCACCAGCCACTAACCCAGCAAGCGCGCAACCCAACTGCACACACTAGCCAGGCATCTCTTTCTGCACCCCCTCCCCCCGGCACCCGCCCGTAGACACTCACTCTGCCAGAATGCACCCCCACCCCTCCGCCCAGCACCGCATACAAAACGTTCACTTTCCGGGGCACCCTCCCCCACCTCTTCAAGCACTAAACCCGCAGGAAAGCAGCTCATATGAATGATCTTAAGAAATAACTTAATGAACCCCATTATTCACAATCAGGAACCCTCTTGGGGACGTCCCAAGGCCCCCGAACCCTGCCTCCCCCTGCCTCGGACCCCGCTGAGGGGGAAGGGCAGGAGGCTCACCCCATTACTCACCGTTTCCTCTCGGTCCGCTGAGCGGAGTGGGCAAGTGACCGGGGTGAGGAAGGTGCGCGATGCCCAGCCGCCCGGCTCCTCACCGGCCGCCGCGGCTCATCGCCGCCGCGGGCTGCCCGCCGGCCGCAGCCGCGTCCGGGGCATGTCAGTCTGCCGCCGCCGCCCGCCTGCCGTGGCTCGGTACCCGCGGCTTTCAGGGAGCGGCGGGGCAGCGCGTCCGGAGCGCGAGGGCTGGGGCCAGGGCAGGGGGCGTGGGAGGGGTCGCTTGGCCTGGGGTTAAGGAGCAGGGAGCACCCCCCTCCCGAAGACCCCCGGGAAACCCCGACGCGGGGCGCGGGCTCGGGACGGAGCCCCGAGGAGGCCCGGAGTCCCGGCCGCCAGCAGCAGGGGGATCCCTGCCGGGAGGGGCAGGAAGGTGAGCGGCCCGGCGCGCCCTGGCGGCTCCGAGGGCCCCCGGCTTGCAGTCGCGGCGCCGGGGCTTTCCTGGAGCTGGGAGCGCGCCGGCCCTCCGCCTCGCACGCCGTCACCGCGGGAGACGTCTCGGCCTCGCCGCGCGCGGAGGGGACGCGCGGAGGGGCTGGTTTCTGGGCGAGCCGAGAGCTTTGCCCATTAAGCTGCAGCAAGAAGCCAAATCAAAAAGCCAATCTCCAAGCCTCCAAACCGAACGTCACCCTATCAGCTGGGAGAGAGCGCGCTGCACGGTATGACAAGCCGCGCGTTTTTGTCCCCGTGCGCCCAGGGGGGATTTTTCAGACAGCTTCGCGACAGCCGTGGGGAAGCCGAGCCTGCACCTCGCGCGCAGAGAGTCCCGAGGACCGAATGCGGACGGAACCCCTCGCCCGCGGCCACCCACCCAACCGTAGGAGCCTGATGCCCGGCGCCGCTGGCCAGCGGCAGTTCCAACACGGCGGCGTGTCCTGACCTGGATTCCGCGGAGTCCGGAGCTCTGGGCAGCCGGCGGGGAGGGCGGGCAGGCGGACGCGCAGCACCGGCTTTCCCCTTGTCCTCAGGAGACGCCGGCTGCAATTCCGAAATTAAGTCTTCACCAAACACATCTGTGGTTTTTAAATATAGCAGGGGACGATTACCCAGGCAGGGTCCACCCAGGCCTAGAGGAGGAGTTGAGGGGGATGGAGGTTGGTAAGGGAGGGAAAATAAAACTCCTTTTTCCCCTCTTTTTTCTTCTGTTCTTGGTGCAGAACTCAGTCTGTCATTTTCTCAACCCAAATCAAACAACAGCTTGTGAGAGACGCTTGGGTGAGTGCTGGTATGTTGGCTTTTGGGTTTTTAAGGCTAAAAATAAGAGGGGGCTGTCTCCCAAACTGCTGCTTACTCTGGGCCTGGAGCCTGGAAGAAAGATGGTCTTTTGATGCAGCAGCAGAGCTAGGGTTTGGGGCTTGGCTCAGGAGAAGTGTACACATGTAGCCTTAAATCAGATGGCTGTAATTTCTGCTATATTTGTCAGGCTTGGTGCTGGAGGCAGGAGGGGTGGACAGGCCTCTCCTAAGAATGGGGTTTCACTTCCCCATTTTATTGATGACATTAGGCAGATCTAAAATGAGCACATGGCTGGCTTTTTGTAGAGACAGCAGTGCAGATTCTGGGATGGAATATAAGGGTGGGAACTTGTTCCTCTCAGGCCTCTGCTGCTTGAAGCCAAGTATGAGGGGCCAACAAATTAGAATAATACTTAGCAAGTATCAGCACCTAGTTAGGGCCAGGTGCTTGCTAATGAATTTGATTGTATTAGTTCTTGTCAGCCTCATAAAACTCTATGGGAAAGGTACAATTACTGTATTTTTCTGCTGAGGGAATTGAGCCTTAGAGAGGCTAAATATCCATTCAAGGCCACAAGCAGCAGAACCAAGGATTAGAATAAGATGGAAGCAACCAGGGTTTTGCTGATAACGACAGCAGTAGGTGTGATCCAGGACCTCTGGCTTCCCTGGATTGCTCTCAAACAAGGCTTGGTGCAAAGACGTTAAGCAGGTGTTGGAGTTAGAGGGCTTCTGAGCCTGGGGTGGTGTGAGTTGTTTCCTGGTTCCTTGACTCCATGCTCTTTCAGCAAATCACGAGATGGTTTCCCTCCTGCATTTGAGTCCTGCATGAGCTCCTTTGTCCTGTGATCTCAGTGCCCTGAACCTTTATGAGCCTTGAATTCAGTTAAAGTTGGGGCTGAGACACTGATTCTGTATGATTTCAATAACTTTAAAAGTTTGGGATTTCAGGATACGTCAATGGGTGGGATTTACTTTGTGTCTGTTTCCATGGAGATCCATGATGCTGATGATCTATAGTCAAGACCAAGAGATGGCTGGTAGGTGTATAAAGTGCTATAACTTATAAGGAGGGCAATTTTGAAAGCTCTATTTGATTCCTTAAAAATGTGAAACTCCTTTGACTCAGTAATTTTACTTGTAGAAATGTATTCTATGGCCATAATGAAGGATGTGCTCAAATATTTCATTATAGGATAGTCATGTTTATAGTAGTGAAAAATTGGAAACATCTTAATTGGTTGAGTAGATCATGTTACACTAACATAATGGTGTATTCTACTACCATAAAAATGCTGATGCAGGATGCTAGGTACTGACATGGGAAGGTTTTCATATGTTATTGAGAGAGGAAAAAAACCAGAAGGTAGAGAGTATAATACTGTGTATGTGTGCGTGTGCACACGTACGTGCACATGCCCTGGCAGCATAAAAACACCAAAATGGCAATGGTGGTTATATTTGGGTGGTGGGAATACTGGTTTTATTTTTCTCTTTAAATCAACTTTACTGAGGCATAATTCACATATAATAAAATTCACCTGTTGTAAGTGTACAGGTTGATGAGTTTTGACAAAACAAAGTATAACAACCCCTATCAAGATACAGAACATTTTCATCTCCCCCAAAGTTCTCCAGACCCCTTTGCAGTTATCCCCCATTACCTCCAGAACAACTATTCACCTGCTTGCTTTCTGTCACTATAGATTAGTTGCACTTGTTCTAGAATTTTCTTTTTGCTTTTTTTCTATCTGTGGGTACCTTCAATGAACATTACCCATTCACTAAGACAACAACAGCAACAATAAAAGCAGAGGTGGTCTTGTCCTTTTATTAGAAGACTACCAAAAAACTGACAGGAGTATCATTTTCCTCTTGTTACCTGTAGCAGGGCATTGCTGGGTAGGAACATGGGACATGAGGGAAAATGCCAGAGCATATTCAACCACGCTGTAGGCAGAGTGACTTGAGTTCTGAGTTCTAGGCAGACTGGACATAACCCAGCTCTGCATTCTGAGCCTCCATGTCCTCCCCAGAAAAATGGAAGTAAGAATCATAACAGTAATAACCATTTCATATAGTTGTGAGGATTCAGTGAAGTGACAGTTTCTGCTAAAGAGGAATTCCCAGATATATGTTAATTGTCTTTCTCACCTCAACTACACTTCTCTCCCACTGTTTAGTTCTACAGCCGACTTTCTTCCTTGAACACCAGAGTCTCACTCTTTTCCCTCTCTACTACATGCATACAGGGTTGGAAAACAGTGAATTTGATGACATCAGGGCTTCAATTTCTGCCATTGTTTATGCCTTTATTTCTGGTTGTGCTAGGACTCATCCCCACAGGAAAACCAGTCAAGACGCTGTTTCTCTTCAGCATTAGGAGAAATAGCTACAAACTTCATTTTCAAGTTTGGAGGAAACTGAGGCCCAAAGAAGTGAGAGGCTTTGACCCAGTCACAGAGCTCAGCAAGGAATAGGTAGAACCTGTTAGGGGCTGGATTGTGTCTCCCCCACCACCCCTGCGTCCTCCAAATGCATATGGTGAAGTGGTAACCTACAGTACCCCAGAACGTGACTGCAAAGAGTCAAATGGGTTAAATGGGGTTGCTAGGGTGGCCCCTAGTAGAGTGGTGTCCTTGTATGAAGAGCAGATTAGGACACAGACCAAGGCAAGGCCATGTGAAGATACAGCAAGAAGGCAGCCGTCCGCTAGCCGAGGAGAGAGGCCTCAGAAGAAACCAAAGCTGCCGACACCTTGCTCTTGGACTCCAGCCTCCAGAGATTGAGAAAATTAATTTCTGTTGTTGAAGCCACCCAGTCTGTCGTATTGTTATGGCAGCCCTAGCAGACCAATACAGGATCCAAGTATTCTGGCTGATTCTTCAAGTCCTTGTTATATTCCAATTTCAAGCAGTTATCTGGGATTATTTGGAACCTTGAAACGTCACACATTTTACAGTTTAACAAAAAGGAAAACTGGCTTTTTATCGAATGCCTGCTCTGACACTGTGCTATACCCTTTTACATGTTATTTCACTCAGTAAATATTTGTGGGATGTCTTCTATGTGCCAGATGCACTCACAAGTGCTGAGGATATAGCTGTGAACAGTAAAGATAAAAATCCCTGCCCTCATGGAGCCTACATTCTAAAGGAAGAAAAATATGACAAAAATAAATGAACAAAATACATAGGGCATGGTAAATGGGAAGTGCTGTGGAGAGAAAATAAAGCAGGGGAGAATAAGGTGTAAGGCACTGCTGAGGGAGGGAGGGGAAACTTAGATGTTTTCATTGATGAAGAGTCAGGGAGTTTGTGGCAGAAGCTTCACTGAGAAACAGTTAAGAACCAGAGGGAGGCTGGAGAGGGAGCCACGCTGATGCTGAGGGAAGAAGGTTCTGAAGTAGAAGTGTATCAGACTGGTTCAGGAAAAATTATTGTATTTAGCCCTCACGCTCACCTTGAGAAATGCATACTATCCCTTCATCTGAAGAGGAAGAAGTCTCAAATGTGCAAAGTGAAAGGCCCCAAGGATAGGAGGAGGTCCCACAGACAGGCCTCCACAAGTTCGTGCCTCTCCGGACATGGGGCCTGAGGAACTTCACAAGGATCAGCCCTGCCTGCCTTTGCTGCCATTAGCTGTTTTGCACACAAATCATCGTGTTGCTTGTCCCAGGCCCTGCTGCACCCAGGTGTCAGAATTCCACAGCTTGCACAATTCCATAGACTGCACAATCTGACAGCAGTTGGGGGGAGGCCGGAGCAGACAACCAAGTGGAAGCTTAAAGCAAGCTCTGGAGCAGCTCTGTAGAGGAGATAGTTTCCAAAGCACTGTTTGATAGTAGAGTAGTTCAGTGGGACATACTTCTTTCCCATGGTTTATATAATTTTCAATCTCCTTAGAACTTGCATTTTCAAAGTTTGTCACTTAATTTTTTAAAATTATTTTCCTTTAGTAAGATTGTTGAAGTCAAACAGACATTTAGACAGTGGCATAAGCATAAGCCCAAAGAATTTTCACGAAGTGAATACACTCCATTTGGTGTGTTCAGTGGGACATACTTCTTTCCTATAGTTTATATAATTTTCAACCTCCTTAGAATTTCATTTGATCATCACCCAGAACAATAAATTTTACCGGAGACCCAGGTATTCCTCTGGTGCCCCACCCAGTCTCACTTCCAAAGGTAACTAGTTCCCTGATTTCTGAAACCGTACAAGAGTTTTATGTGACTTTGAATTTTCCATAAATGGAAGCATAAAATTTTCTAGTTTGTCTGCTCAACATTGTAAGGTTTTTCCATATTGTGTGTGGCAGCAGTTTACTATTTGTCACTGCTGTAGTGTTTCTATTGAATGAATGTCACAATTTAACTTTTCATTCTGCTTTTGGTTGACATCTAAGTTCTTTCCAGTTTTTTATTATTTTGAATAATGCTGCTATGAACATTTGTATACATGTCTTTTGGTTCTATATACACATATATATGTACATACTTCTCGGTCAGTATATACATAGGTATGAACTTGCTGGCTCATAAAGTATGGTACTTGAAGCTTTAATAATAATAGTTGTTTGTACCAATTTACATCTCTGCCTCCCCAGCACTGTTGCATCACATTCTTGTCCCACTGAGTGTTGTCAATCTATCCATTCTGGTAGGAGTGTATTTAATTGTAATTGATGGTTTTCATTTACATTTTCCTAGTGACTATTGAAATAGGAACTTTTACATACATATATTGGCTTTTGGATATCTTCTTTTGTTAAGAGTTTGTTCAAGTCTGTTGCTTATTTTTTTATGGGGTTGTCTGTCTTTTTCTTATTGACCTATTCTTTACGTATGCTGGATGTGAATCATCTGTTGTTATAGGCATTGCAAATACCTTCTCCTGGTCTGTGGCTTGCCTGTTCATTCTCTTGTGTTTTTTGATGAACAAAAGTTCTTAAGTTTAATGTGCATTTATAACTTTTTCTTTATCCTAAGCATGCTGCGATTCCTGTTCCTTTGTCTATCCAAGGTCATCAGGATATTTTTGTTACCTTCTAGAATTCTTTTTTTTTTAATCTTTCAAATTTAGATCTATAATTTTCCTGGACTTGCATTTTTGTATTTAATATGAAATACAGTGGAATTTTATTTTTTTCCATATGGATATACAAATGACCCACTATAATTTGTAGAAAAGAGAATTTCACCTACAATGTCACCTTTGATATAAACGAAGTGTGTATGCTTGGGTCTGTTTATGGACTCTCCACTGTTTTATTGGTTTATTTTTCTATTTCTGTTATTCACATCACACTGTCTTAATTACAGTAGTTTATAAGAAATATTGATATCTAGTAGAGTGACTGTTTTTGCTTTGTTCTTCATGAGTACTTTAGTTATTCTTGACCTTTTACAATTATACATACGATTTACAATCAGCTTGCCAGTTTTCATAAAAATGCCTGCTGGGATTTAAATTAAGGTTGCACTGAATCTATAGATCAATTTGAAGAGAACTGACATCTTTACAACAGTGAGTCTTTTGACCCATGAACATGGATTATCTATTTAGTTAGGTTGTCTTTAATTTCTTCCAGTAATGTTTAAAAAATTTTTAAATATGCATGTCTTGCACATATTTCTTTAGCTTTATTCCTCAGTATTTAGGTTTTGTGATACCAAGTAAATGATATTGTTTTCTTTTAGTTGTTAAACAAAATTTTATGTTATTTTTTATTTACAGCTGATATTTGTATTGACTTTACATACGATGACATTGCTAAATTTATTTTTAATTCTAACAGTTTATTTGTTGATTTTGTTTGTTCATTCGTTTTCCTCTTACATAGCCATGTTTATAACTTTCTTCCTTTCAAATCTTTAATTTTTGCATTGGCTAGGACCTCAAGTACAATGATAAATAGAAGTAGACATAATGTGATCTGTTTTTTTTCTTGATCTTAATGGAAATACTTTATTTTCCCACTAAATATGACATTTGCTCTATGTTCTTTGTAGAAAATATATTAAGGAAAATTCCTTTCAACTCCTAGTTTCCTATTGCTTTTAAAAAAAAATCATGAAACTTGTTTTGAATGCACCAAATGCTTTTTTTATATCTACTGAGACAATTACATGAAATTTTTCCTTAATCAAAATGGTAAATTACATGGACTCATTTTCTAAAATTAAACCAACTTTATATAAAAACTATATTGGTTGTGATGTTCTCTCCTTTTATGTATACTACTGGATTTGGTTTGCTTATAATTTGTTAAGGACTTCTGTATCTGTATTCATGGTGGAGATTGGTCTGTAATTTTCTGTTCTTGTACTGTCCTTGTTATATTTGGTTATCAAGGTTCTCTGGCATTGTCAAATGAGTTGGGAAGTGTTCCTTCTCTATTTTCTGGAAAAGTATGTGTAACATTGGTGAAGCCAATCTGAGACTGGAGTTTTTTCATGAGGGAAGATTTTTAAATTAGGAATTCAAATTCTTTAATAAATTGAATGAGTTTTCTATGATTGTTGTAACAAATCACAACAAACTTAGTGGCTTAAAACATTGCAAATTTTATTACCTTAAGGTTCAGTAGGATAGATGTCCAACATGAATCTCAGTGGTATTAGCAGGGCTATGGTCCTTTTTGGAGGCTCTAGGGAAGAATCTTGCTCTTTGCCTTTTGCAGCTGAGGCCACCCACATGGCTCATGGCCCCCTTCATCCATCTTCAAAGCCAGCAGCATTGCATATTTCTGACCATTCTTTTTTAGTCACATCTTCCTCTGACTACAAGTAGGAAAGATTCTCTGCTTTTAAGGATCCATATGATTAGAAAGGGCCTACCTGGAAAATCCAAAATAATCTCTATCAGGGTCCTTAATTTAACTACATCTGCAAAGTTCCGTTTGCCATATAAGGCAACATTATATTTAACCTGGTATATATATAGCAGGTTTCAGGGATTAGGATATGGAACTCCTTGGGGGATGATTATTCTGTCTACCACAGATACTTAAATTAAATATAACACATATTCACATTTTCTATTTCTTGTTTCAGTTGGAGTTTTTCAAGGTATTTGTTCATTTCATATACATTATGAAGTTTGTTGGCATAAGGTTGCTCATAATATGCTCTTTAAAATTGTTTTATTGTCTGTAAGGATCTGCATTTTTTAATTTTTCTTTATTTAAATTTTGATTTGATAATTTATGCCACTTCCTATTTCTTTCCTTGAATAGTTTTGCCAGGCTTTATAATTTTGTCTTTTCAAGATATTTCAGAGGAACAACTTTAGCTCTGTGGACTTTGTCTAATGTATGATTATCATTTTTTAAATTAATTTTTGTTATTATTACCTCTATAATTTGTCATTACTTCTTTCCTTGGTTTGATTTGCTTTTCTTTCCCTTATTTCTTGAGATAGATATTTTACCACTGATTTCCAATCTCTCTCCTTCTTAAATCCATGCATATAGATCTTTAAATTTCACCCTAAGCAGTTTTAGCTGTACTTATGAAGTGTTATTTCATAACATTCTATAGCTTGTAATTTTATTTACCATTCAGTTAAAAACATTTTATAACTTCTACTGATTGTTTTTCCTTTAACCCATAGGTTACTGGGGAGTATACTTCCAAGTTTTTAATATTTGGAGATTTTTATCTTTTTGGCTTTGGTACCTAAATTCCACTGTGCTGAGAAAACATTCTCTGGATGACTTAAGTCTTTCAAGTGTATTGAAACTTGCCGTATAGCCCAGCATATGCCGATACGTTCTATATGCCTTCAGGAAAGAATGTGTGTTCTTCAGCTATTGAATTCAGTGTTTTATACTTCAATCAGGTCAAGTTTGTTAATTGTATTGTACAAATCTATTTTTCTATTTACATTTTATCTGCATGTTCTCTTAGTTTCTAAGAGTAATAGGTTCAAATCTCTCACTGCAATTGTGGGTTAGGTCTGATAATGCAGTATGTGACAGTTTGTTTTTGAGATTACATTTTTAGGTGCATACATATTTAGAATTGCTATTATCTTTCCTTTTCTTTCTCTAGCAATGCTTCTTTCTTTTAAAGTGTTTATCTGATATTACCATAGCTATAGCTTTCATCTTTTGATTAGTGTTTGTATGGTCTTTTTAAAGGGGTTGTAGGTATATTTTCCCAACCAATAAAGAATACCAGAAACTGAATAACTCCTTTACAGAAAGGAGTGTAGAGTAGAAGGACCCTAAGCTAGAAGTCAGAGGCCATGCGTTCTGGTCCCAAGTCTTCCACTAACCACATGCCCCAAAGTAAATAGCTTAATCATTTATGGGCCTCTGTTTCCTTATCTGTTGAACTGGAGAATCTCTACCTTCAAGGCTTATTATTAGTTTCTAAGAAGATAATATCTACAGACATAATTAAAAATTGTATAATGCTATATAAATGTCAAATAATTATTATACATTTTCTAAGTAAAATTATACAAGATAGGAAGCAGCTTGCCTCCATTCTGAAACTCTTAAAAAAAAAAATCTTCCCAAATTTGTCTTTTCACGAAAACAGAGAATTTTCTTGGTCACTAGGTTCTCCACTCATCCAGACGCCTCTGCCTCACTGGGCCGTCACATCCTCTCCCTGCCTTCCCTGGGTACCACGATCCTGAGAGTGCTCCACAGGATAGGAGAACTTTATTCATCTTCTAGGCCCTGGAATTTCCTGCCTTTGAAGATTCTCTCCTTGCTATGTTCTTCCTACCTGAACAGGCCTCCCTCAATGTCCACAGCAGGCTTTGGCAAGGTGGGAACGGCTGCTCTTGGAGGCTGTGTTTCTGTTGGGGGGAAGCAGATGATGGTTATCATGGAATAAAAGAACAACATGTCTGTATTAAAGCGTCCTCACTGCCCTCTCCCTCTAGACTCCCACACTTTTTCCAGCCATAGGTTACAATGACTTACTTGATATTTAGTGAACTTCCTCAAAAGTATAAGCACCCTCATCTAACATTCAGCGAACCATCCTTCTACTTCTTATATAATTTCTACATTTGTTCATGAAGGTTTTATTGCTAGACTGTGAGTCATTTGAGAGAAAATATTTCCATGGTGGAAGAAGTAGGCCTTGTTTGCTGAATGACCAAAGGATGAGGCAGAAGGAGGAGTCCAGCATGACTTCCAGGTGCCTGGCCTGAGAAACCAGATGGGTAGCAGCACTGACTTGGGAAATATGAGAGTAAAAACATGTTTGGAGAATAAGGAGGTAAGTGTCATTTTGGCTGAACCTGGTAAATGTCATTTGGATGAACACTGATGAAGCTGCATGGTATTCAAATGGGAAACCTCAGAGGCAGTTGGAGATGTATCTGAAGCTCAGGAGGCATGTCACCAGAGACACAGATTTGGGAACCACCAGCATATACAGGTGGTCATTGAGGCCATGGGAACAGATGAGAACACCCAGGTAGAGTAGGTACAGTCAGTTACACATTCTTTCATTTGTCTTTTACCAATCATCCTAGAGCAGGGATTAGTTAGCTAACTACGGCCTGTGAGCCAAATCTGGTCTGTGGGCTGTTTTGTAAGTAAAATTTAGTGGAACACAGCCACCCATTTGTTTACATATTATATGTGATTGCTTTGCACTACAACAGGGCTGAGTGGTTTCAACAGAGATTGTGTGACCTATAAAGTGGGAAATACTATTCAAACTTTTACAGAGAAAGTTTGCAAACCTCTGGCGTAGCAATTACAACATGTACCCTTGCTTGATTAAATATAATATAAACTAGGCAGTTGAGAAGCCAGTTGTCAGTTTTTTATGCTGTTTTTCAGCTAATAGATCTGCTTGATCTGTTTTTCTTAAATTTTTCTGGTTTTGGTTCTTATCAGTTTCACTATGATGTGCCTGGGTGTAGCTTTCACTAAAATTATCTTATCTGAATTTCATAGAACTTCTTGAATTTGTCAGTTTAATGCAATACATTACTACTTTCTCAATGTTTGCCAACCTAATATATAGAATGGTATTCCATTTTACTCCAAGATATTTAAAAAATTTTTAATTATGTTTATTAGCCATTTGCATATACTCCCTTTATTTATATCCTCTGTCCATTTTTCTAGTTCTTAATGTTATCAATTTGTAAGTATTCTCAATTTAATTCATGATTTGAACTGCTCATTTGCCACATGTTAATACTTTCCCAAAGTCTATTTGTCATTAAAAATATTACTTATGGTATCATTCCTCATGTAAAAGTCTTTTAATTTTTAAAAGATGCATAAAATGCATCTTTTTCACAATCACTTCTGGTTTTTATGTTTTGCTTAAGGTCTCTGCTTCAGGCTTGCAGAAATGTTTTCCTAAAACTGATTTCCTAAAATTTTATATTTTACATTATATTTTTAATTTATCTAGAATTTTTTGTACCTGGTATGATGCATAGTTCTAACCTGTTTTCCTTCAGATGCCAATTCTATCAGTATAATTTACTAAATAAACTAACCTCTCCCATTTGGTCAAATACTAAGACTCATATCTGCTTGAATTAATTTTAGATTCTGTTTCATTGATCTATTTGTGTATGATTGTGCCAAGTCACCCTTTTTTGGCTTATTTATTTTTATTAGATTTATAGCAAATTTGAATATCACCATTTCATCTTCTTGTAAAAACATCCTTGACTACTCTCAACTATTCCTCCATTGACCTTTAAAATCATTCAGTATAAAAAATACCAAAATAGAATTCTGGTTGAAATTTCATTAAATATATAAATTAATTTGGGAAGGGTAAACATTGTTATGATATTATATCATTCCATCTTAGGAACTTGTGACTTCACATTTCATAAGATTTTTATAGTTTTACTAATTTAAGGCACTTTTTGCCTTTCTTGTGAATTTTATTTCTAGGCATTTTGTAGTTTGGGTTTTAACTAAAAATGGTAGTTCCTCCTTCCTCACATTTAAATTTCTATATATTAAAAGTAAGACTACTTTTGTATTTTAATTTTGTATCCAGTCACCTTATTCAATGATTTTGATAATAATACCCTAACACAGAGACCTAACAATAGGCTAGACATTTTTCTAAAGATATAATGTGTATTAGCTCATTTAACCCTTACAATATCTATATAAGGTAGATAATATTATATCCATCCTAGAGATGAGGAAACAGACTTAAAAGTAGAATTTCTTAGTCTTCCTAGGAAAATAATCTAATCTGCAAATGAAAATTTTACTATTTAACTATTGATAGTTACTGTTTCATTTTATTATTGTATTAGCTAAAATCTATAAAGTAATGTTGAATAACAGAAGAAATAATAGGCACTGTTGTCTTATTCATGATATTAAAAGAACTGTTATAACAGAAATAATAGATAAGCCCAAATGTACACTGGTATTTTGATAGAGTTATCTGTTTGCAAATAATGATATAATAGGAGTGCAGAAGAAAAAAATAGAGATTTATATGCGCAAGCACCTTCCATTTGTAAAAGGACGTTTCATCATTAAAAAAGTCCTTGCTCAATCCCACAGCCCTGTTAGTATTTCTTCCCTCTGTAAGTAATAGAATGCTCATCCATTTACACCACAAGAAATCCAAAGGAAAGTGATCTCAGGTGATTCGGCAGCTCACTCATGTCATCAAGGATGCAGGATCTGTCTGTAATTTCTGCTCAACTGTTCTTGGTGTTTTGACTCTTCTCAAGCTTGTAACCTCAGGATCATGAGATGCTAGCCAAAGCTCCAGAGCTGGTAAGAGATTTTAACACAGGATTACCCCCTCCATTGTTTTAGGGAGGAAAAGTCAGGGTGCTGAATTATGTGTCATGGATGACTTAGGCCCTACAGGAGCTTCTGCAGCAACAAAGATGCCACTGTGGGATTCTCCAGGTTACTGCCCCTGGACACTAGTTACAGACACTGAGGTTCAGGGACTGGGCCCAGATGGTAAAGAACAGGTTTTGGTTATGGTAAGGAGGCAAGGGAAGGAAATCGTGCCATTTGTAACAACATGGCTGAGCCTGAAGGAACCTATGCTAAGTGAAATAAGCCAGACACAGAAAGATACTGTATGATCTCATTTATACATGGAACCTAAAAAAGCTGAACTCATATAACCAGAGAGTAGAATGGTGGTTTCCAGGAGCTGGGGGGCAGGGGAAATGGGGAAATTTGGTCAAAGGACACAAACTTTCAGTTATAAGATGAATAGGTTCTTGTGATCTGATGTATAGCAAGTTGAGTACAGTTAGTAATACTATACTGTATACTTTAAATTTGCTAGGAGTAGATCTTAAATGTTCTCACCATAACTCAAAAAATACACTGTCATCACTTATGCAACCTAAATGCAAATTTTGTCAATCATACTTCAATACAGCTGGCAAAAAAAAGAAGGGCATAAGTGAAACACCCAGAAAAAGGCTGAGGTTCTAAGGGGATTCCCAGAGGACAGGTTGAAGGAAATGAACTAGACACAAATAAAAGTAAGTTGAGATAAGTGAGAGGCATGTGCTGTTGGGCAGTGATCGTGATGACAAGGGGGGGCAACAGTGGTGTACAGGTAGCCCTCCTCAGGGGTGGAAAGCAGCCTCACGACCACCTACAAAGGTGAAGAGGGCGGCAAGTGATTTGTTCATGGATGACATGATTCTTTCTTGAAAGCCAACTGTATACAGCAGTGTTCTAGATGTCAAGCTTCACTGTTAACAAGACAAGGTTTTGGCTCCCATCGTGCTCCCATTAGCACAGAGATGGGGGATAATGGACAAGTAAACTCAGGTACATTTTTATAAAACTTCCAATGAAACTAAGTGACATGAAGAAAACTGAAGCCAAGTGAAAGGTGAGAGAGTGGCTGTGGTGGGGATGTTTTGGTGGCAGTTTAGATTGAATTCTCAGAGGAAGTTTCTCTAATGAGGTAACATTTAAGCTGCGACTTCAATGAAGTGAACAGTTGCAGATTTGAGGCAGAGAGCAGCAGCTGGTTGAGGAATAAGAAGCTGTCTTAGCTGGAGCCTGGTGAATGATGGAGGAGAGTGGCAGGAGATGAAGAAGGTCTGCAGCTCTGGCTGCTACTGGAGCTGGCAGCCTGGAATCCCTGGGCTTTTAGCTTGATTTCATCTTCTGTAAATACTTTCTACCCAAGATACCATATCATTCTTCCTCTTGGTGTAAGGAGGCCTCTTCCTAAGGGCTGTGTGACCATCTGCATACTAGAGCTTGACTGACCATCTGCAAGATACTTTGTCTCTTGCTTGTTGGTTTGCCTACAGTTTAGGAGTCAACAGAGCTAAAAGTAATAGTCTCATTGGAGCACAGGGGCAAAATTCGGCAGAGAGCCTGGAGCATCAAGAAGCCGGACAGATCAGGCCCCAAGCACCCGGGGCAGTCTCTTCCCTGAGAAATCATCTCAAAACTTCTGGTCTTGATCTGTTGATTATTCTCCTTCACACCAGTGAGAAATGCACTTCCTGATGAAAAGAAAACAGCTCTTGAATGGTTTGCTCCTTCCCAAGATGGTGACTACAAACAGCTATTGGAGCAGCATCTTCCACTCTGACGCTGATTTAAAGAGAGAAAAAACAACGATATTTACCTAATTAGGAAAGCAATGCATATTTATTGTTGGAAAATTAAACAAGAAGAAAAGTATAAAGCAGAATCATCAAAATATTATCATCTGGAATAACCATTATTAAGGTTTCTAATTTCATATAATTGCACATGTAACATACAGGTATATACCTGAGGTCATTTGGTAGCTACAATTTTGTATCCTAATTTTAAATGAAACATTATTTAGCAATCACTTTTCCACTGACAGTACATTATAAAACCACAAACTGGGCTCTAGGCTATAGTGATACCAAAGGAAATTGTGCAGGAGAGGCTGGGGTTGGCAAAAGCCAAAATTATGTCCTAGGGCTATTTTCTGAGGTAAATACTGTCATGTTACAACCTTGGCAGCCTCTTGGCTCTCCTCTCTGATTCATTAGACAATATCACACAAAGAAGATCGGAGAGACTCAGAGATCTGGAGACTGGTTTTTAGAGCAGATTATTTTATTTGATATATAACTGTCAATCAGACTTCTTTCCATGCATAATTCATTGCTGAGGAACATACACATACACACCCACACAAACAGCATTTAAAAAAATTTTTGACTGCCCATACCATGGCACACATCCTGACTTTTGCCTTAAGAAGTGAGTCTTTCTAACCAGGGAAACTGGCATGTTCTTAGTCTTAAAAGATAAGGGTAGCTGTCTTCAGCAAAGATGCTATCAGAGATGAACTGTTCTCTGTCTGACTTGGAACCACAACTTCAACTGACCTCTTTCTTTTGGCCCAGGTGAGCCTCATAGTGGTATTGGTAATGAGTTTGGCCTATGGAAGATTTTAATCAGCTTTTGTATTCTTACAATTTTGGTGTCTTTATTATCATTTTCATTCTTACTGTGGCCAAGGCTAGGCAGGAGCCACGTATAGACCAAACATTTGTTGACTAGCCTTAATCATAGAATATAGGTGACTTTATTGTCCTTTCTTACCGGAACACATGATTTACCATGTCACATGAGCAGCAGGCACTGTTAGCTTCCTGTCCAATAGTCATTTCCCTTCTTCAGCCTCAGTCACAGTAAGAGTGAAAGATCAAAAAAAGCACTAAAAAGGTGGGAATAAAAACGCTGAATAAACATAACTGTGACTGGTCTAAACCAGTCACAGGAACCTGAAACCTCTTTGACAGATACTCATTTTTCTGCCCATCTTGCAAATAGAGATGGCCATGTGATCCAGTTCCCATCAGGCACATAGAAGAAAATCTGGACAACATTTCCTTCCTGATAAATAAGACAGGTATTTTTTTTTCATTTCTTGCCCCCCCTTTCCTCCACTTTGAATGTACAGTGAAGACCCAGTGCCCAGAGCTGTGGCAGCCATCTTATGAAACATGGTGACAAGCATGAGGATGAAAAGCCAGCAATGCTCAGGATGCTACAGCTGAAGAATGAAAAAGTGACTAGATCCTCAATGACATTTTTGAGTTGCCAGTCAACTCTGGGAGTGCCCACTTAGGGAATCTTTCTTAAAAAAGAAGAAAAGTTCTCTTGGCTTAAGACATTCTTTCTTGCAGGTAAACTTATCCTAATTGACACATGCCAAAGATGGCCAATGGGTGAAGAGGATCAAATTTTCTGAAAGGCAGCCTCAATATTGTAGTAACTATAAAACTAAAAACTAATTCAACCTCAAGAATTGACCATCTGGGTCAATGGGATGCATTTGTCTTTCCAATGGTAGAAATCTGTCTTTCCAAAAGATGGACAGATTTAGATCAGAGTGGGCAAAAAGGAGCCAACAAGAATCTATACCTCACAATACCTTGAGTGTAGTTAATGTAGCAAACTCTTTAAACATGTCCTCTATTACATCTATAACATGTTGGTATTGGTACTGATGTTACTGAGAACACCCAATGGAGAAAAGCTAACCTATATAGTGTAAGAACAAGGAATTAAACTCATGAATAGAGATCTCTCAAAGAGCTTTGGGCAGGCACTAAGGAAGAGCATGGAATTAAGCTTAAGCATGCATCCATCTCAGAGCAGACGGTACAAATTCTGTTTTCAGGACAAAAGTAAATTAGAAATATCTCAATTTCAGGAGCCTTATAACTAAACATTTTAATTGCCATCAATTTTTAGTAAATGGTATTCATTTTGCAAATTCATTCCCTAACAGTTTTAAATGCTCATCTTTCTCAAAGCATCTAATGTATTGCTGGATCTATACAAAAATTTTATTATGGAATCTCTTCAGTATATGGTGCTAAGCAAAGTTCCTGAACTTTGAAGTCAGACCAACAAGAACTCAAATTTTCTGCTGTTAACTAGCTGTAATCCTGGACATACTACTATACTTCTTTGAGCCTCATTTCTTAAATGAGGATAATAGTAGCCATCACAAAAGGCTGTTCAGTGACTTAAGTAAAGAATGTAAGTACAGGACACACAGTAGATATTTGTAAATAATAGTTTCTGTGTCAATTAGAGCCTAACATGAAATAGATTGAGTATTAAAATTAAGATATTTAAAGATTTTTTTTTCTTACAAATGGATTCTTTCCAACGATGGGCAGGACTAGGGGAACTACATCTAGGAAAATTTCCCATGGTAAACAAATAAAGCTGCTCTCCAAATTTATAAAAAGTTTAGCATTATTGTCTTAGTGAACATCAGAAAACAATCCAAGTGTCCAACTGTAGGGAATTGATTACATTCATACAGCTGAAAAGCATAAAAACCACTAAAAATATTGTAAAATTAAATGTACTGACATCAAATGTTAGTAATACAGTGCTAAATGAAAACAAATTTTAAGATATTATGGAGAATAGAATCTATTTTGCTAAAATAATATGCACATTATGTTTGTAATCTAAAATTATATCTAGATATGATTATTTAAAGCCAGACCTTTAAGATTCTTTTAGGATTGCTTATAAATTTCCAGTTTTTTCAGTCCTGTAAGAGGTAGAGAGTTCATTCACCTTTCCTGGGGGGGCGAGGTGAGGGGGTCACCCTTAACTTGACTCAGATGATTTAGAGTGAGTGCCTAGTATTCTGTTTGGTGACTGACCTTCTCAAGTATGTTTGAATCAGAGCTATCTCTGAAACTCTAACTTTGGGGTGGGGTTTAAGGTGAAGGTGGAAAAAATATTGTTGCTTGCCTGTGTGAACTTGGAGAGCACTGCCTTGCCAAATGTCGCTTGTTCCTTTTTGGTTAATTATGTGCAGGGTATCTGGAGCTGGGAAACTGAACACTGTAGGAAGGATGAAAGGATCTTCCCTTTAGAATAGAGACTATAAAAAGTAACTGGACTGGCCATGGTTTAGCTCAGCATGGCTGGATGATGGATGCCTGTATGTGGAATTACTCAGGATGGAATAACCCATAAAGCACAGCTGCTGGATTGTCGTGATCTGATCTTATTGTCTGGATGGAGACATACCCCTGAGGGTGGACGGATAGGGTTTCCTCTACAGCAAGGGATGCAAACTGAAGTGCTTACACTGTGACAGTAATGATAATAGGAAACACATCTATGCTTATGAGTGTTGTAAGGGTTTTGCTTGAATTATTACTTTAAATCCTCAAAAACACTATGAAGAAACTATTATTAGCTCAGTTTTACAAACTGAAGAAATCTATGCATAGAGGGGTTAAGTAACTTGTCCAAGGTTATAGAGCCAGTAAGTGGCAAAGATAAGATTTGAACCCATCTGGCTCCAGAGCCAGGCTCTTCATTATGATCTGCTACCTGTTTAAAGTAAGTGTAATGTCCTTGAGTGAAGCTGGCAGTATATAAGATGGCAAGAAGGGTGAACTGGCCAAACTAGAGATGAATGTCCTGACTGAAAAGACAGCTACTAGTTAGCAGCTGCAGCTATGAAGGAATGTGGGCTCACTGTTTCCAGATCACCTACGTTTTCAAGAGAAAACAGAAATCAAGATTTTTTTAATGTGAAATTTCTTTTTAAAATACACTGCTGGCCAAAACACACACACATGCAGCTAAGTGCACATACACAAGCGCACACCATGAACTACTAGTTTCTGAACCCTATATTAAAGAGAATGTTCATTTCCATGTTCAATCATCCTAAAAGAGGAAATAATTGAGTAGATGAACATTAGATGGGAGGGAGGAAAAAACTCCATCATTTATTATGTTGTGGTTTTAAGCAGGTTAATTAATATCTCTGAACATGTTTTCTCATCTATAAATTGATGAAAATAATAGTATGATCTCATAGGGTTTACATGGGGAATTAACCGGGGTAACCAGATTTTTAGAGTGCCAACCTGGGGCACAGTCATACCAGACTTATGTACTTTCCTGTTACATAAATGTTATTAAACAAAACAAAATTAGGACTAGTTGATAGTAAGATTTGGTAATAGTTAACAGTAGGATTAAACAAATCATGTGTAAGAAAAATACAACAATATTTTTTAATGTTTCTGTCTAATACAGGCAGTTTATTTAAACTTTTTAAAACTTTGTGTTTGATATGTAAACTCTATATTATCATGAGTTCCTTTCTAAAAAGCTTTATGGAGATATGATTCACATATTATATAACTTATCTAGTCTACAATTCAATGACTTTTAGTATGTTCACTAAAATGTGCAATCATCACCATAGTCAATCTTAGAATATTTTCATTACCTCAGGAAGAAACTCCATATCTTTTAGCTATTCCCCCCAAAGCCCTAAGGAAACTTTAATCTACTATCTGACTCTGAATTTGCCTATTCTAGATATTCCATGTAGGTGGTATTATGCAATATTTGTCCTTTTGTGTTAGCATAATGTTTTTAAAGTTCTTCTATATTGTAGCATGCATCAGTATTTCATTCCTTTTTAATGGAATAAATAATATTCCATTGTATGGACATACCACATTTTGTTCATCCATTTGTCTGTTATTGACATCTGGGTTATCTCCACCTTTGACTATTATGAATAATGCTATAAACATTTGTGT